CCATCTCATGGACTCAGCAGTCTTCCTGCCTCAGCCTCCCCAGTAGCTGGGACTAAAGGCACATGCCATCACTCCTGGCTCCACCAGTTTATTATAAACAATACTACCAGCCAGGCATTGTGGAGCAAACTTGTAATCCCAGCACTTTGAGAGACTCAAGTGAGAGGATTGCTTGAAGCCAGGAGTTCAAGACCAGCCTGGACAACAGTCAGATCCTGTCTCTACAAAAAATAGCAAAATTAGCCAGGCATGATGGCGCACATGGTCCCAGCTACTTGGGAGGCTGAGGTGGGAGGATTATTTGAATCCAGGAGTTAGAGGCCACAGTAAGCTATAATCCTGCCACTGTACTCCAGCCTGAACAACAGGGCAAGACCCTGTTTCTGAAAAAACTAAAAACTAAAAATAAATGTTAAGAAAGGATATTACAAATGATACAGATGAAGAGATACATAGGGTGACGTATAGGGGAAGGTGCTCAGAGCTTCCACCCCTTCTCTGAACCCTGTCCTTTTAAATTTTTATGGAGGCTTCATTATGTAGTCATGATTAATTAAACACTTGGCCATTGGTGATCAACTTAACTTTCAGCTCCTCTTTGCCTTCCTGGAGGCTGGAAGGTGGGGTTGAAAATCCCAACTATCTAATTCTGCCTTCGTCTTTCTGGTAACCAGCCCCATCCCAAATCTGCTTAGGGGCTGCCAATCACTGGCCACCTTATTAGCATACAAAAAGACGTCACTTATAAGATTCCAAGGATTTTAGGAGCTGTATGCCAGGAAGCTGGGAGGAAGACCAAATATGTATTTCACAATATCACAGTGAGGGTATGCCATGAGCTAGAACAAACAGACCAAAGCAGTATAGCTTTTTGACTCTTAGGAGGCCCTGAGAGGTTAAGCAACTTGCCCAAGGCCACACAATGAGTCTTTCAGCCAGATTTTGAACTCAGGCAGTCTGGATCCATGGTCAGTGTTCTTGACTCCTACCTGTCTTGTTAAAAGATGTTTCCAAATTACAGTTAATCCTACTTTTTATTTTATACAATGATTATATTTTCAACCTTCTGAAAAATATATATTTTAACGTTAGCTGGGCTCCTTTTTTGTGTTTTTATGCAGTATACATCTTTCTCTTTATTAAATACAGAATAAAAGTCAAACATTTCTAACTAAATTAATGGAGTTATTTCTGAGAGTTTACACAGTTGTCTCATGGTATCCACAGAGGATTGGTTCCAGGACACCCCCTCCACCCTACTCCCACCTCACCCTCAGAGTTTACGAAAATCTTTGAATGCTCAAATCCCTGATATAAAATGGTATACTTATGTGCATATAACCTATGCACATCCTCCTGTATACTTTTCATCATCTCTAGATTACTTATAATAGCTAATAAAATGTAAATGCTATGTAAATAGTTGTTATACTATGTTTTTAAGTTTGTATTCTTTTTATTTTTGTATTGCTATTTTTTTATTGTTTGGGTTTTTTTCCTTCCACATATTTTTTGATCCTTGGTTGCTTGAATTCAAGGATGCAGACCCAGAAGATACAGAAGGCTATTTGGTAGTCGTTTTGATTTTTTTTTTCTTTTGAGACAGAGTTTCGCTCTTGTTACCCAGGCTGGAGTGCAATGGCACGATCTTGGCTCACCGCAACCTCTGCCTCCTGGGTTCAGACAATTCTCCTGCCTCAGCCTCCTGAGTAGCTGGGATTACAGGCACGCGCCACCATGCCCAGCTAATTTTCTGTATTTTTAGTAGAGACGGGGTTTCACCATGTTGACCAGGATGGTCTCAATCTCTTGACCTCGTGATCCACCCACTTCGGCCTCCCGAAGTGCTGGGATTACAGGCGAGAGCCACTGCACCCGGCTGATTTTTTTGTTTCTAATCGACATAATAATTACACGTGTGGGACACAGTGTGACATTTCAATACATATATACATTGTGTAAAAATCAAATCAGTATTTAACATATCTGTCACCTCATACATCTATACTTTCTTTGTAGTAAGAACATTAAAAATGCCTCTTTTCTAGCTATTTTGAAATATTTTGAAATGCAATATTATTAACTATAGTCACCCTACTGTGCAATAGAACACTGGAACTTATTCCTCCTAACTATAACTTTGTATCTGTTGACCATCTTCTCCCCATCTCCTCCACTCCATTCTCCCCAGCCTCTGGCAACCTCTGTTTTACTCTCTGTTTCTATGAAGTCAACCTCTTTAGATTTGACATACGAGTGATTTCATATAGTATTTGTCCTTCTGTGCTTATTTCACTTAATGTAATGTCCTACAGGTTCATACATATTGCCACAGATGTCAACACCTCATTCTTTTTTATAGCTGAAGAATACTTCACTGGGTATATATGTACCATGTTTTCCTTATCCATTTATCTGTTGATGGACAGTTAGTTAGGTTGCTTCCAAATCTTGGCTTTTGTAAATAGTGCTGCAGTAAACATGAGAGTGCAGATATTTCTTTCACATACTGATTTTATTTCCTTTAGATATATTCCCACTGGTGAGATTGCTGGATCGTATGGTACTTCTGTTAGTTACTGCTAAAAGCTAAACATCAGATTTTTATACATATAGAGAGCATACATTTATCGGAAGTATATTACACTTCATAAATACTTGTAATTTTGGCTGTATATTGCAATGTAGTATGACAGAGAATTGAGTAATAGCATATCGATTTATTTTCTGTTAATAAACTTTAAAAACCAGATACATGAAGCTGGGCAAGGTATCGTGTGCCTGTAATCCCAGATTCTCAAAAGGCTGATAGAGGAGGATCACTTGAGCCCAAGAGTTCAAGACAAGCTTGAACAACATAGCAAGACCTAGTCTAAAAACAAAAAGATACATTAAATATATTACAGCTTATTCATTTGAATTTAAAAGTAAAAGCTGGACATAGTAGCTCACGCCTGTAATCCTAGCACTTTGAGAGGCTGAGGCAGGCAGATCACTTGAAGTCAGGAGTTCCAGAACAGCCTGAGCAACATGGTGAAACCCTATCTCTATTAAAAATACAAAAATTAGCTGGGTGCAGTGGCAATGTGCCTGTAATCCTAGCTACTCAGGAGGTTGAAGCAAGAGAATTGCTTGAACCCAAGAGGCAGAGGTTGCAGTGAGCCTAGACTGTGCCACTGTACTCCAGCCTGGGCAACAGAGTGAGACTCTGAAGAAAAAAGTGTTTTTTCTAGAAAACATGCTTTGGCTGGTTCAACAGTAAGAACTGACTTATCATCCAATTCTGCCTTGGTCTTTCTGGTAACCAGCCCATCCTAAATCTGCTTAGGGGCTGTCAGTCACTGGTCACTTTATTAGCATACTAAAAGATGTCACTTTTAAGATCCCAAGGATTTTAGGAGCTGTATGCCAGGAAACTGAGAGGAAGACCAAATATGTATTTCACAGTTATCACAGTGGTAGATATGTTAATCAATGATGGATATGTTCACTAAATTGGATGAACTAAATCTGTAGCCATAAATTGAGAAAATTGAGTTGACAACTGATACATCATTAAAAATGGATTTTGATAATCAAACAGTGTGTAACTTTGGCATATAACTGGTAATAAGCTCAAAGATTCAAGGGGAGATAGACATTACTGTAATAATTCTCAGCTGAGAGCGGTGGCTCATGCCTGTGATCCCAGCCCTTTGGGAGGCCAAGGTGGGTGGATTACCCACCTTGGTCAAGAGATCGAGACCATTCTGGACAACATGGTGAAACCCCATCTCTACCAAAAATACAAAAATTAGCTGGGCATGGTGACATGCACCTATAATCCCAGCTACTCAGGAGGCTGAGGCAGGAGAATTGCTTGAAACCAGGATGTGGAAGTTGCAGTGAGCCAAGAATACGTCACTGCACTCCAGCCTGGCAGCAGAGCAAGAAAAGAGAAAAAAAAAATGCTCACAACTTAGTAATGTGAAAAACATTTCTTAGCATTTATATCTTTAAGATAAAGCAACATCCAAAATAGAAAATAGACCTAGAATTAATATTGAACCTGACTTTTCTAGTGGAAAGCCACATTTATGCATGAGATACATGAAATAATTGTGGGAGGAAAGAGCAGCCCTACTTATTCCACTATCACTAAGATATGCTTTTCAAGTAAACAAATAGTATAAAAAATTAATCTTTATGTCTGGCTTGTCCTGTACTAATCATTGTAATGATGATACAGAAGAAAATGAATGTTAACCTTTACAGCCTTATGGATTCAGAAGTTAAAGCACATTTTAAAATTTCATGTTATATATATTTTGATGGTAGAAAAAGTACGGTAGGGTGATTAAAGACAAGTACAAAAAAAATTCTAGGATAAAACTGGAGGAAATGAAATAAAAACAGTTTTAAGAAATGAAGGATGTAAAAATCCTAACTGTTAAAATAATGTTTTTAAATGGATTTTGGTCATTTTAAAATGTGGTAGGGCTGAGTGTACTGACTCACGCCTGTGGTCCCAGTGCTTTGAGAGGCCAAGGTAGGAGAATTGCTTCGGGCCAGGAGTTCAAGACCAGCTTGGGCAGTATGGCAAGACTCCTATTTTTTAATAAAATACAGTGTGCTAGATACCGACCTAAAAAATGTGGGAGGTGAGTTGTATGTATGTGCATACTTTCTGGAGAGAGAGATGGTCCATAGCTTTCATCAGATTCATTAAAGACAGAGTATGTGAGCCAGAAATCAGTTCAGCACAGTTAGAAGCCAGGTCACCAGTCCCTGGTATAATATTGAGTCTAGCCTCAGCTTGTTCCATATGTCTTTTCTGTACCAACATGTAGAGGTATGGTAGGTGCAAAAGTGTATCTGCTTTTTAAAATCATGGTAGAGTTATAAATTCTTAGGGTAGCACTCTTAGTTCAGAAACATCTTTCCTGTATATCTCCATCAAATAATTATATTCCTCCTGTGATTGTTCTGTGTATGTAAGTTGATGGTACCCTATCTTTCAGTTTGAAGGAAGAAAGTACTGTGAACATGACTTTCAGATGCTCTTTGCCCCTTGCTGTCATCAGTGTGGTAAGTTTTATTGCTAAATGTCAAGTAAAAAGTAAGTTTCCGGTGGCTCACACCTGTAATCCCAGCACTTTGGGAGGTGGAGGTGGGAGGATCACCTGAGGTCAGGAGTTTGAGACCAGTCTGGCCAACATGGGAAAACCCTGTCTCTACTAAAACTACCAAACTTAGTTGGGCATGGTGGTAGGTGCTTATAACCCCAGCTACTCATGAAGCTGAGGCAGGAGAATTGCTTGAATGCAGCGGGTGGAGGCTGCAGTGAGCTGAGACCGTGCCGTTTCACTCCAGCCTAGGCAACAGGGCAAAACTCCATCTTGTCAGGGGGAGGACAATTAAGTTTCCAAATTACTTCAGTCATTTCACACTGGTAAAGTATTGATGGTAAAAATGTTTTTTGGTGCTCATTATGAATAACTGTTGGATACTTCATCAGTCCTCTTCCCTATTGTTAATATATAACAAGCCGGAGAAGTATCAAAACCAGAGATAATTGATTTTTAAGGACATTTAGGGTAGAAGTATTTCAGGATGAACTAGGACTCCTATTGGTTGGCGTTTGGGAGTGTTCTTTTTTTTTTTTTTTTTTCTTTTTTTTAAGATGGAGTTTCGCTCTTGTTACCCAGGCTGGAGTGCAATGGCGCGATCTCGGCTCACCGCAATCTCCGCCTCCTGGGTTCAGGCAATTCTCCTGCCTCAGCCTCCTGAGTAGCTGGGATTACAGGCACGCGCCACCATGCCCAGCTAATTTTTTTATATTTTTAGTAGAGACGGGGTTTCACCATGTTGACCAGATGGTCTCGATCTGTTGACCTCATGATCCACCCACCTCGGCCTCCCAAAGTGCTGGGATTACAGGCCTGAGCCACCGCGCCCGGCAAGGGAGTGTTCTTTTCCTGTGTTAACACACCTTTATCTATTTGCTTTTGGTTTTGCCAGGAAAGAGGCAGGGAAGACATCAGTGAGGTACTTCAGATGCTTCAGGATGCTTAAGCGCTGCTTGCATGGCACATAAGTGACTAACTTGCTTGCATTTTGGCCACTTCACTGGTTGTTAATAGCTCTGCTAGGTTTCCAGAGATAGAAGAAACTGAGTAGAATGTTCTAAAGGTTTAATGAAAGAATAAAGTAAGTGTGGGTTATAAGAAACTGCTATAGTTTTCAGTTGTCTATGCTGACAATGACCAGAAATAACCAAAAGGCATTCAAGAAAGCCCAGTTTGGAAAGGAAAGCTATATTCAGAGAAGACAGAACAGCCCAAAAATGTGGCAACTGAATCAAAAACAAAGACTCAGATGAAATAAAAAATTTTTTTCTAATGTGCTTACTCTGGCACACACATAAATAAAAAGTTCCTCTATGGAGAAAGGTTTAAACCTTTTTTCCCTTCACTGTTTTTCCTTAATTGCCCTCTTAGTAAATAAAGTGCCATGCTTGTTACTTAGGATGTTACTTAGTAACATCCTTTGTTGTGTTGCTTTCCCACAGGTGAATTCATCATTGGCCGAGTTATCAAAGCCATGAATAACAGCTGGCATCCGGAGTGCTTCCGCTGTGACCTCTGCCAGGAGGTTCTGGCAGATATTGGGTTTGTCAAGAATGCTGGGAGGTAGGTGGATTTTCATCCTTGTCAGATGTCAGTGGATAATGTGACTGTGACAAGATCATGTGTATTCTCCATGTGGGATGTAAGGCAGTTCTGTAGGACACCGAATTGAGGGCATGGGAACTTGACAGTGCAGTGTGTTGACTGAATGTTGCTGCTGGGAGTGGACCCTTGTGTTGCTGTGCACAGGGCATAACGGCTCCACGCATGGCTCAACTACCAGCGGGGGATGTACATAGGTGGAGTTTCTTAAAGATCAGTCAGATATTGGGGTTGGAACACATTTTCCATGTAGCTTGATTCTGCTCTGTTAAAAGCAGAGGAGTGATTTTTTTTTTAAAGAAATTGTTTAATTTCTTTTCAGAGATAAGGGAAGCATGTTTCTTTCTAACTATTAGAAAGAACCTAAAATTTTAAATTTAAGTTTTGGCTCCGTTTAGACACCTGTGTCGCCCCTGTCATAATCGTGAGAAAGCCAGAGGCCTTGGGAAATACATCTGCCAGAAATGCCATGCCATCATCGACGAGCAGCCTCTGATATTCAAGAATGACCCCTACCATCCAGATCATTTCAACTGTGCCAACTGCGGGTATTGGGATTGTTTCTTTTTTATTACACAGGCAGTGGGAAGGAAAGATTCCGTTTATCTATATTTCTGTTACTCTAGCAAACCAAATTGTTTTTCTCCAATTTTTAGTCTAGAAAATATTAAAACTATAGAAGGGTCAAGAGAATGATATAATGAAATCTGTGTACCCTTAATTTTATTTCACCATTTAACATGTTATCATGCTTATGTGTGTACAATACACGTTCTCGTTTCACCCTCCCATGTATGTGTGTACGTGTGCATGTATACACATGCCTCTAAAATTTCTCATGACTCAGTATACATCTCCTGAGAATAAGGGCATTTTCCTATGGAACCACGATGCTTTAAAAAAAAATTTTTTTTTTTTAATTTTTTGTTGAGACAGGATCTCACTGTATCGCCCAAGCTATAGTGCAGTGGGCGATCATCACTTGCTGCAACTTCAGCCTCCTGGGCTCAAGCAATCCTTCCACCTCAGCCTCCAGAGTAGCTAGGCAACAGGTACATGCCACCCTTCTCGACTAATTTTTTAAAATTTTTTGTAGAGATGGAGCCTTGCTATGTTGCCCAGGCTGGTCTCAAACTCCTGAGCTCAAGCAGTTCACCCATCTCAGCCTCCCTAAGTGCTGGGATTACAGGCATGAGCCACTGCACCTGGCCAGAACCACAGTACTCTTACCATATAAATTAGCAAAAATTTTATAATATCAACTAGCAGTCCATATTAAAATACCCCCAATATCCCCAGAACTATTTGTTATCACTGTTTTTCCAATAGAAGATCCAAAAATAACCTCAAAAAAAGGTCTTATCTCTGTACATGCATTACTTTTACAGTTGTAATAATTAGGTATTATCTTAAAATACAGTGTTATATTTACTTTGGCTTGGTTTACATCTAAAAGAAATTATTTAATTTTTTGTCTTCAAAAAGTTATGATAAATTGTTGGGCTATGAATTTTCTAAATTCATAGTAAAAATTTAGTGGATAAAGATTCTTTACTGTAGTTAATGTGAACTTACATGCTAAATTATATTAGGGATAGAGAAGAAACAGTAGGCTAAATATTAAGAAAACTGTTTGGTGGTATAAGTTCAGCCATTTCATCTTTTGTGATTGAATTATCAGTTTGTGCTGTATCTTGTTTTCTTGCCTATCCTTCCTCTTGGGAGATTCTCCTCTGTCCACTTTTCCTATAGAATTACTTCAAAGGGGTGAAATTCAAACAAGTCCATTTGACTAATTGGAACCATCTCTGACCAAATGTTTATTGATGCAGGAGAGTGAAAATAATATTTAATTTGAGTATTTGGAGAAGGAAAATTATGGGCATGTGTTTATGAAAATAAACCTAAACCGATTAACCTATAGCTCTTTTCAACAGCTTGTGACAATTTAAATAATTGTTAGTAAATGGAACTAGTCTATCAACTTCTCAGTTTGCTTGGAAAGGTAGTGTCTTAGTCTCTTTTACGTGCCTATGACAGAATACCACAAACTGGGCAATTTGTAACAAACGGAAATTTATTTGGCTCATGGTTCTGGAGGCTAGGAAGTCCGAGATTAAGGGGCTGGCATCTAGTGAGGACCTTCTTGCTGCATCATAACATGGCAGAGGGCATCACACAGTGGGTGGGAGGAGAGGGAAAGGGAGGAAGAGAAGGGAGAAAGCTGAAGTTGTCCTTTTATAAGGAACCCACCCCCTCAGTAACAGCATTAATCCATCCATGAGGGTAGAGTCTTCATGATCTAATCACCCCTTAGAGTCCCTACCTCCTGACACCTGCATTGGGGATCATGCACTTTGGGGGATGCATTCACACTACAGCAGGTAGTATTACTGAATCTACCCTCAGCACTGTGATTATTCCCCATAGCTTTTAAAGGAAGACAAATGGACATAAATGTAATGTGATTATATAAGAAAGAAATGATGAATATGACTGGTGTGGTGGTATATATCTAACCTAGTATTGCATCTTATCCTTTTAAGATACAGATGTTTTGGTAAGAATCTGAAACCTATTCGGACCTATTAATTCAGGTTACTCTGATCACCTCTAAAGGGAGAAAAAGAAATTTGCAGGGATTGTCATAGTAATCTCTTTAAAAACCTTTTAAAAGTTGTCCTGGCCCTATCGGTTGGCTATTTTTCTCTCTTGGTATTAAGCTGGGTGTCTTTCTCACGAATAGGAAGGAGCTGACTGCTGATGCACGGGAACTCAAAGGGGAGCTGTACTGCCTGCCATGCCATGATAAAATGGGGGTCCCCATCTGCGGTGCTTGCCGACGGCCCATTGAAGGGCGCGTAGTGAACGCCATGGGCAAGCAGTGGCATGTGGAGGTAAGTTGAGAGTAACCAATCGTTTCAAACTTCTGTGATTCAGCAGTAATCAATCCTTTCAAATCTCTATGATTTAGGGGTAACCAGTACTTTCAAATCTCCATGATTCAGGTGTCCTGGCAAGATTTAGGAGATTCTAAAGGTTAAACATGGACATTTTAAAGACAACTGACTTGCTGACTGTTCAGAATATAGAATATATACTGCTTTTGTGAATTTCTCAGTAATGATACAGGATGTAGACTTTTGCACCTAAAGCCTTCCTGAAGCAGGAAGTGCCATGGTCTGTATCCAGCAGCAGCTCCTCCTTTATAGGTGCTACTGGGGTACTCATCTATTTGCTCTTTTTGGGCTATTGTAATAGGCTATGTCTTAAAGTAACCTGTCAAAGATAGACACGTGAATTAAAACTGCAAAAGTATTATATTAGGGAGCTACCTATGGCCAAATCAAATGACTATCTCAAACGTTCGTTCATCTTCTCTGAAGATAGGTTAACTTTGTGGTTTATTTTATTAGATATAAAATATGGCAAATCAAAAATGACCTATAGCAATTTTTTTTCAGCATTTTGTTTGTGCCAAGTGTGAGAAACCGTTCCTTGGACATCGCCATTATGAGAGGAAAGGCCTGGCATATTGTGAAACCCACTATAACCAGGTATTGACCTTAGTCACTGGATGCTAGATAGACTTTATGAACTTTGCTTATCAGTAGTTTAGCTACAAGGAAATCTCTTGGAAGATATACATTGTTCAGGAGAGATGTTTTTAACTATTTAGGAAATAATTTCAGACTCAGAAGCTAACTATAAAATAAAAAATAAAAAGAATACCTGTATGCTTTTCATTCAAGTCCACTGTTTACTTTATCATTTTCTATGCTCAGTCTTGCTGTGTAAAACACCTACTTACATAAATATTATACACAAATATGATGGCTGTTTCTAAAGCATTTGCCAATAAATTCATCATACTCCTTTACCCCTAAATACTTCAATATGTATTTCCCAAGAATATGAGACTCTCTAACATAATTGTAGTTATCAGTATTGATATCATACTTTAACCCATTTATTCTAGTTTTGTCACTTGAGTCAATAATGTCCTCACAGCAATTTTTTCTACTCCTAGAAAAAACAGTCTAGGGTTGTGATGTTTTTTTAGCCTTCTTAAATCTGGAACATTTCCAGAGCCTTTTTAAGTTTTTGATGGTATTGACATTTTGGAAGGATGCAGAGGGCCCCTACCCCCTTTTAATAGACTACTTTCCACTTGGGTTCTCTGTGCTTTCCACTGCTGCTTCTCTGTGGTTAGATGAGGTTATACACAGCAGGTTGCAGCCTCACACAGTAGCAGTGCATTCTCTCAGAGCCTTGTCCCTGGAGCCCTTCATAATCACCTCTCTTGCGCTGGTGATCTCCCAGGCACAGTGCTAGCTGATAATATCACTATGAATTACAATTTCCTTCACTCCTTTGTAAGAAGGAAGCAATCTGTGGGCCATCATTTTATGACCATGGAAATGTCTTGTTTCTCATCAACCCACCACACCTTTATGATTCTTGCTTCTGCACCAGCTGCAAATGACAGTTCTCTAGCCCCACACTCTCCACCCATAGTCTGGTCCTCAGCGCTCTGCCTGAGCAAGAACCTACCTCCTCTGCCATCTATAAGTTTATTCATTTATCTGTTTCCTATCCATATATACTCACAGATTTCTATATTTCACATTACTTATTTGGGTGCTCAAATTGTCTTCTGGAAAGATTTTTTTTTAATTGATGAAAGTGAATTGTTTTCACTGTAAAAAGTAAAAATTTGTCAAAGAACTTTTACTAATTTTCTCCAGTAGTGATAAATTCTTGATTTAGATAACCAGCTATTTGTTTTTAAATGTTCCGTATTGTAAAACTTAATTCTAACACATCTTGAACCACCTTTTTTTTATTTTCAGCTATTTGGTGATGTTTGCTTTCACTGCAATCGTGTTATAGAAGGTGATGGTAAGTATCTGTGTGAGTTTTAGATTGGTACCACTTTGACACAGAAACACTTGGGCCATGTGGAAATTCAGGTTGGTGATTGCTGTTGTTTGGAATGTGATCGTTATCAGTTGCTTTTTCTCTTTCTTTGGTGTATTTCCCAAGTAATCTGTAGCAGTAAGATGATAATATCAAAGAGTTGGATTTGTTACTCATTTATGATACTACTTTCAGCCACTGCCACAGTGTTGTATGCCAGCAATCATGGGAACTGTCCCTAGTGGACCATAGACCTGTTTCTGTCCAGTTCCAGGAAGCTCCATAACAACATTTATTAGGAACAGTTTAATCTGCTATGTAGTTAGGAAGAGGCACTTTAACTTGCACATGCTAAAACCTGGCAGTTATCAGCAAGCACATCTAGGACTTACTACCCCTTGTACTGTGGTAATTAGGTTGGACTGATTGACTGGAACAGAAAGGAAGCAGCTGTGTTTGCTAACAGTTGCTAACACAATTCTGCCAGAGACTTCCTGGCAAAGTTTTGAACAATCCTGTTTTCAGCATGATTCATGGCTCCCTGCAGACATCACCTAATTCAGGAAATACTTTTGAAACACTGTTCATGTGCAGTTTGTGAAAAGATTAGTCCAGGAAAACAATCTTCAGTGCCATTGAAAATAAAACTTACCTCCCTCCTCTGTGAAACAGACACCAGGTAAAAGGAGCTACAAGGCAAACTTTCTTGTTATCATCAGCTCTGGAAAAAAGACTCCTACAGACAAATACGTTAATGCCTGGATTTTTCAAAATTATTTACCTAGTTCATATTTCCTTGTTGGGCCAACAGCAGTAGGTACAGAAACACCAAGCTCACCTAACCAATATCATGCATGGACAGTCACCACATGTGCCTGGGCCAAGGGGGCATGGTTGCTGGTGTAAGATATGGCACACATCATTTACACCTTCATAGGATACTTAAGAACAGGGAAAGATTAATGTCAGCCCTCCATATCCAAGGGCTGGATCCAAACATTTGGTGATACAACCAACTATGGATCAAAAATATTTAGAGAAAAATAACAGTATAAAAATAGTACAGTATAATGACTATATATCATTTGCATTGTACTAGGCATTATAATCTAGAAATGATCTAAAGTATGTGAGACAGTGTACATAGATTATGTGCATTTTATATCAGGGACTTGAGCATCTGAGATTTTGGTATCTGCACAGCATCCTAGAAACAGTATCCTGCACATACTGAGGAACAACTGTACACATAAAGGTTGAGGGCCAGGTATGGTGGCTTACGTCGGTAATCCCAGCACTTTGGGAGGCCAAGGCCGGAAAATTGCTTGAGACCAGGAGTTCAAGACCACCCTAGGCAACATAGACTTCCATCTCTACAAAATAAAAATAAAAAATTAGCCAGACATGGTGGCACACACCTGTGGTCCCAGCTGCACAGGAGAATGAGGTGAGAAGATTGCTTAAACCCAGGAGTTCTAACTGTGATCACATCACTGCAATACAGCCTGAACAACAGAGCAAGACCCTGTCTCAAAAACAAAGAAAAAAAAAAGAACCTCTCAAGAAAGAGGTTCTTGGCTGGGCATGGTGGTTCATACCTGTAATCTCAGTATTTTGTGATACTGAAGCAGGCAGATTGCTTGAGCCCAGGAGTTCAACACCGGCCTGGAAAACATGGCAAAACCCTGTCTCTACAAAAAATAAAAAACTAGCCAGGTGTAGGCTGGGCACAGTGGTTCATGCCTATAATCCCCGCACTTTGGGAGGCTGATGCAGGTGGATCATGAGGTCAAGAGATCGAGACTATCCTGACCAACATGGTGAAATCCCATCTCTACTAAAAATACTAAAATTAGCTGGGCATGGTGGTGCATGCCTGTAATCCCAGCTACTCAGGAGGCTAAGGCAGGAAAATTGCTTTATCCCAGAGGGCAGAGGTTGCAGTGAGCCAAGATCATGCTACTGCACTCCAGCCTGGCGACAGAGTGAGACTCCATCTCAAAGAAAAAAAAAATTAACCAGGTGTGGTGGTATGCACCTGTAGTTCTAGCTACTCAGGAGGCTGAGATGGGAGGATCACTTGAGCCCAGGAGGTTGGGTCTACAGTGAGCCAAGATTGCACCACCACACTTCAGCCTGGGCAACAGATCAAGACCCTGTCTCATTAAAAAAAAAAAAAAAGGGTCTCCCCGAGGTGCCACAGACACAGTCATTGCAGTCATAGTTCTGTTTTAGAGTTGAAATTCTAAGCTGCCCTGCTCCCCATACTGATGTATTTCCATGTGACCAGATCTCTTTCCTCTTTGTCTAGTGGTCTCTGCTCTTAATAAGGCCTGGTGCGTGAACTGCTTTGCCTGTTCTACCTGCAACACTAAATTAACACTCAAGTAAGTCTATGGTTTTGTCCAATGTGAATCCTAAGACTGAAAACTTTGGGGTGACACTTAAAAAAATCCTAGAAAAAGAGAATTATTTGATTTCTTATTTCCTCTTTCTGTTCACGCCTTCTGAAAGTAAAGGGTCTTCCTTTAATTTTTCCCTGTTCTTTCTTCTATTCCTTCTTTGTCCTGCTTAAAGGGATAAATTTGTTGAAATTGACCTAAAGCCAGTCTGCAAACACTGTTATGAGAAAATGCCAGAAGAATTTAAGAGGCGACTTGCCAAACGCGAGAGAGAAGCAAAGGATAAGGACAAGCAGAAAAAGAAAAAGCCAGTCTGTTTGTAAACTTTTCTATCCCTCTGTCATCATTTTCACTACTTTCTCCTTTGGTTAGTCCTTTGGAATATGTTTTTGTTCTGTTTCTGCCTTTTGCTTTCTTCCTCCCCCCTACCCCCACAACTTTTGGGCATGTATTTGTAGTCATCAGAGATTGAAATACAAGCATTTGTCCTCTTTAGAGTTGGTCCTTTTGCATAATTACTAAAATTACAAATATTAAATGAATATGCTCCATACTTAATACAGGTTTGTGGTCATATATTTCACTTACTCTGTAGACTCACTCACCTCATTTTTTAAACACCATGTTATACATTTCTATTTTGTTCATGGATTTAAAGGGAAGAATTCTAATCTCTTAATAGACCCTGGAAAAAGTTTTCAAGGATTTTTGTCTAATAACTGTAGCTTTTAAAATCCTGGTTTTTTTGTTTCTTTGCCAAAATCATTTAATTGTTAAATTATAAGTGTTGTTTTATATTTTTTAAAATATGATATTTTTTAAAACTTATGTTCTAAGTTATGTTTTATATTATTTCAGCATAGCCAAGCACAGTGGCTCATGCCTATAGTCCCAGCACTTTGGGAGGCTAGGGTGGAAAGATTGCTTGAGCCCAAGATTCTGAGACCAGCCTGGACAACATGGCCAAACCCCATCTGACAAAAAAAAAAAAAAAATCAACTTGGCGTGGTGGCCCATACCTGTAGTCCCAGCTACTCAGGAGGCTGAGGTTGCAGTGAACTATGACTATACCACTGTACTCCAGCTTGGGCAACAGAGTGAGACTCTGTCTCAAAGAAAAAAAAATCTTTCAGCATATTTCACATCTAGGCAAAGTCCATCTGATTTACATAAGACATCTTCTTCTGTGATGTTTATGTATGCATTCATACAATGCTCATATGCTATTGTTTATGAATTCATTTCCTCAATGTCTTCAAAGTCTCTTTTATTCCTGATTTTTATGGGAAGTATTTCAATCCTTGACGTTCTCTTAAATTACTAGCATGATTTTTCCATTTTTCCCTCATAGTTACCATTGTGTTTAGAGCTCTAAAAATATTTTGTTTCAGTTTACATGTTTCCTTCTATAAAGAGGAATTAAAATGTAAATATAAGATTAAAACAATGAGCCGGGCATGGTGGCTCACGCTTGTAATCCCAGCACTTTCAGAGGCCGAGGCAGCAGATCACTTAAGGTCAGGAGTTCAAGACCATCCTGGACAACATGGTGAAACCCCGTCTCTACTAAAAATACAAAAAAATTAGCCAGGGATAGTAACTGGTTTCTATAATCTCAGCTATTCATGAGGCTGAGGCAGGAGAATCACTTGAACCTGGGAGGTGGAAGTTGCAGTGAGCCGAGATATTGCCACTGCAATCCACTCTGGGCAACAGAGTGAAACTCCATCTCAAAAAAAAAAAAAAAAAAAAAAAGATTTAAATAGTAGAAAGCTTACTAAGTTAGTCTCTCCAGAAACAAGAATAATTTTTTTCTTTTATCAAAAAAAAAAAATGGCACTTTTAATAGCTTTTGCTCTAAGAAGACCTTGGGAGAAAAACTGTAAAATAATTGCCAGTGTAGTGTTTTAAAATACAAGATTTTTCATTTTAAATATGTATTTAGGAATTACCTTTGTTATTAACATTGTCCTTTAAAATGATCTTGAAGCAAAGTCTAGCTTAGTGTCATGTTTAAATGTAGTAAAAATATCAGCATATTTTATCATTTTTCTTATAGATGACAGTATACCACTAGATTTATTTCATAAATGCTACCTGAATATAATTTCACAGATACAACAAGTTATCAAGTTGTATATTTACTCAGTTCAAAATTAAACACTGTGGATTTCAACAGTAATAAGCTCCTATAGCTGCCTGTTGGAAATGCATTACAGATGGTCAGGAGGCTTGTCTGAAAAGTTATCTTCTCCAGGACTATTTAACAAATAAATCGATATGTGCTCTAGCTTCTCAAAAGAATGGTTGAGTTCTTCAAATAGCTACAATTGACAATACAACCACAGGTGATCTGGTTATATTTATGTAAAGAGTGATTAAAAACTTTCTTCCAACGTTTCTGTCAGATAACCAAAATAATCCCTTATAATTTAAAATTAATTAAACCACATAGCTACCTAATTTAAATTACTAAGTAAGATTATGTTGCCTCTAATAAAGAACTCATTCACATTACAAAAATATGATTCTTTCCTTTAGATGAATTTATCTTTAAGGTATTCTCAAGCTATTTTAAAATGTGATTACCAGCCTGGGCAATACAGCAGGACCGTTTGGCTACAAAAAAATTTTTTTTTAGTTAGCCAGGCTTAGTAGTATGCACCTGTGTCCCAGCTACTCAGGAGGCTAAGGCTGGAGGATGGCTTGAGCCGAGCAGTTAGAGGCTGCAGTGACCTATGATCACCACTCCAGCCTGAGCAACAGTCGAGGCTCTGTTTCCAAAAAAAAATACGTGATTGACTTTACTTATGTAAATTATATTTACATTAGATTTCCTGTTTACTTAGTACTGAATAAAATGTAATCTATTAGTCTATGTTACACAGATAGATGTGTAGAACCAATTTATAAGGACTTTTTAAAAAATGGTATTGTATTTTTTTATATATCACAGTAAGAATTGAGATTAGAATTACAGTTTTTTGCTAATATGAATATAGACATCATCTAGTTGCCTTCGTTTAGTTCAATACAATTCACATATTTATATATCTTTGTTGAATATGTTTCCACTAATTTCTTCTTTTTTTTTTTTTAATAATTATTGTCTTTAGGAATAAGTTTGTGGAGTTTGACATGAAGCCAGTCTGTAAGAAGTGCTATGAGAAATTTCCATTGGAGCTGAAGAAAAGACTTAAGAAACTAGCTGAGACCTTAGGAAGGAAATAAATTCCTTTATTTTACTTTTTCTTTTCTTTGCAAGATAAGAGATTGCCAACATTGCTTGTCTTGATCTACCCATATTTAAAGCTATGTCTTAAAGCAGTTGAGAGAGAAGAGGACCTGTATGAATTGTTTTATGTCATTTTTTTCATTAAGAAAGAAAAATAATTGTGTAATCATGTTTAAAATACAGATGAAGTCAGTATTTGCTTTTGTCAACCCTTATCCATTTGTTGACATGTAGACTGTTTATAAAAAAAACACATGTTAAATGTTAGATTTTAATTAAGGCCCCCCAAAATTAAATGTTAACTTTTTTAAATGACAGGAGTCAGCTTTTACATGACTCAATTGAAAAAAAAAACAGTGTAAACATTAATTTGCTTTGTATTCAAAAGAAAATTCCAACTGCTGTTGGGAAAGGATACAGAGAAGAAAAATAACCACCCAAGAAAAGCAAAAACAAGAAAAATGATTCTTACACAGTCTTAGTATATTTATCAAACTAGTAGCTATAAAATGAACATATACATTACTAAGATAAAAAAAGTATAATTCAGAACTACTTGACTTTTTTTTAGTTAAATGCAATAATTATTATGCTTAGTTTTATAATCTGCTCTCCTTGTGAATTCTTCCTTCAAATGATTACTTAACACAGTAGTTATAGCTAGCTAGTAGGATGTCTTTTAAATTTTTGTGCAAAAAAAGATGTATACCAGGTATTTGAAAATATACAATATTGGAAAATGAAGTATTTTTAATGTATTACAGCAACTATGCTTCTAAGCTTAATGTCAAGCATGTAGTCTTAGAATAGGACATGAAATTAAATTGTATGTAGCTTGGAATGTATTGCTTCAGAAAAGTGAATGTGTATGTCGGTCATATTGCCTTCATTACCATGCTAGTATCTATGCATTATACATATTTAAACTTGCCTTGCCTTAAAAAAAATATGTACTGCGTACTTAAATCAGGAATTCTAGCCATCTCACAGAATACCAACTAAAACTAAGTGCAGTGAGATCTGAGATTGGTAAACCCAGATTTATTTAACACAGCTCAAATTAAATTTTTAAAAAGTCTATTCTTTTTAGTGGGAAACCCATTGAAGTTAATTTCTGTTATCTTATTACAAGAGAATGATGTTGATATGTGTTTCAGATTTTTCATTTCAAATCTTATAATTAATTGAATTTATTTAATATAAATAGGAGATACAAATGACACTCTTAAATTGGAAGAAGGATGTTTTGGTATTCGTTTGAGGTCAAAATTAGTGATTCTATTTTTATCAAAAGTTTTATCCTGAAGTTTCTGGACCACTTTTCCTTAATAAACTTGTTAATGGAAAGCGAGCTTTCTGAACATTTAAAAAATGTTGCTGCTGCTTTCTTACTTAAAAAGAAAGTTGCCAAGATAGACTTCTTAGGGAAAAAAATTTTTTTTCCAAAAATTGCTGAAATACTGTTTTGCCATTAAAAAAAAAATTCTCAGGATATTACCACTCTGCCATTAAATATTTGTATGCATGCATTTTTAAAAAAAAATTCTCTCCATGTACTTTATGGAATACATTCTATTTTTGTTTTCAGACACCTTACAACCAATTATTTTTTTAGTAATCTTTTAGAATTAAAATAATTATAATGATTAAAAATAATCATCACATAGTTTATAGTTGTACATGTTCAGTAGTGTCAAACAATCATTGCATTTGACAGTAAGAATCAAAGTGTCTTCAGTGTGCCTTTGTCGGCTAATATGTAACCAGCAGTGATAACCTTGGGAGTATTTATTAAATATTATACTATGAATATAGGCGAAATAGGACAGAGTTTGCAGTATAGAGTCTTGATGCTAAATTCTTATATACCTCTACGTGAGAAATATGGAGCGGAAAAACAAGCATTTGCATATATTCTTCATCACTTTGAAGATGCATGGCCTGAACTCGACTGCTTGTGTCTGTTTACATATCAGGCATAGCCAGGCATCTCCTGTAGCCAGAGGTTCCACTGCTGTCTTTGCTCAGTCCTCTTTTAAAATATGAGTTAGTATTTTCTAGAAATTCCACTTGCTAAGCCTCTAATACTTCAGTGTAGTTTATCTAGATACAGTACTTTCTTCCCTGATAAGTAGTATCATTGGAGCCCTTACATATAAGGACATATAAGGAGAAGAGGAAGAAGTTGAAAAATGTAAGTGGATTAAAAAAGAAACTTGGGGCCAGGTGCGGTGGCTCACACCTGTAATCCCAGCACTTTGGGAGGCCAAGGCGGGTGGATCACGAGGTCAAGAGATCGAGACCATCCTGGTCAACATGGCAAAACTCGTCTCTACTAAAAATACAAAAAATTAGCTGGGCATGGTGGCACGTGCCTGTAATCCCAGCTACTCAGGAGGCTGAGGCAGGAGAATTGCCTGAACCCAGGAGGTGGAAGTTGCAGTGAGCCGAGATCGCGCCATTGCACTGCAACCTGGGTAATAAGAGCGAAACTTCGTCTCAAAAAAAAACTTGGTCTAGTTCATATTTTTAATGGTGCTTTCTCTGGCTGCTGGAAAACTTAGGCCAGTAAGCATCTCTTTGTTTAAAGTCCTACAAGGCAATTTGAAATAATTCATTGTTTATGCCAAAATTCTAAGTACTGTTTTTCTTAGCAAGCATAATACAATCAGAAAAATGGGTACAAATAAAATATTCTTTGAATCATACTCAAAGCCTTATTAACACTGCACTTGAATAATAGGTCATTTTGCCTCACTCATTTGCCAAAGTAGCCATTTCTAAGTTAAGGACATTTTGAGGAAGGCAGATAGCCTTGTTGTATTGCATTTTAGATTGTAAGCTCAATGGCAGGGATACTAAATCGATAATTGTGTTTTCATATAGCAACCACCACAGTATACTCTTGGTGCTTAATAAATGTTTATAATTATTAACAATAACTTGTATATTATTTAATTTGAATGGTATAGATATGAAATACATAAGGAAATTGAAGTATTCATGAATATGTAATGGAAACATTCAAGTAAATGAATAAAATGATCTGGTTACTATGGATAAGCCAAATTTTGAACCATATGAACAATGGTGTAGTCTTCCCTCTATTCAATGTAAATGCTGGAGGGGGTGGGGTTTGTTTTTGTTTTTGTTTTTTTTTTGAAACAGAGACTCACTCTGTTGCCCAGGCTGGAGTGCAATGGTGCGATCTTGGCACAAAGGAGATACGGGCCAAGCATGGTGGCTCACATGTGTAATCCCAGCACTTTGGGAGGCCAAGGTCAGTGGATCGCTTGGGGAGTTTGAGACCAGCCTGGCCAACATGGCGAAACCCCATCTCTACTAAAACTACAAAAATTAGCAGAGTGTGGTTTTGTGCTCCTGTAGTCTCAGTTACTCGGGAGGCTGAAGCAGGAGAATCACTTGAACCCAGGAGGCAGAGGTTGTAGTAAACCAAGATTGCGCCATTGCACTCCAGCCTGGGTGACAGAGTAAGACTCTGCCTCAGAAAAAAAAGAAAGGAGATATATAGCTTAATAAAAATTTCAGCAAGCCCTGAGTCACTGTGTGCAGTGTGTTGGGAAGACACTCACTAACAGAGTATTCCTCTTCCAGCGCTTGATTCACCCAGCTCTGCATCCACCTTAAATGTAGAGAATCCTGGGAGCTCTGTCTGAGTCTTGCATTCCATTTCATTCCCTGGGGAGGTGAGACAGGTCATCACATCTCCCTGTGGGAGGTGTTGGACGGGGTGAACACAGAGCATGCTAAACTGTAGTGGTGGGAGCCCACGAAGGAGAGGGAAGGCTTCCTAGAAGAGCTGGATCTTGGAAGATGAACAGAAGCTAGCCAGACAGGGAAGGAGGATAGAGAGTGGGCATCCTAGGCCCTCTTCCATTCCTGTTTTTCTGTTTCTCTTGGCATTACCATCAGTGTAGCTCCCAAGCTAATAACAATTTGACTTCAATTTCTCCTCCCCACAACCTACATTTGCCCCCACATCTAAGTCCAAAATTCATCACCTCTGCTGTGAAAAGGTCCCAGAAACCTTTCTTCTGCTCCTGACTTGCAGCACCTGCTTGCCTCACGCTGTCCTTGCTCTGCACCCATCAGTCACCTTGCCCTTGCTGTCAGCCTCGAATTGGCTCGCCGAAACAGAATGAAGTCCGAACTTGCCCATGGCAACCAGTTAGTCTGTTTTTCTCTCAGTGGCCAATGCAAGTGCCACACAGAATTGATTTGTTTTCCCAGATCTTGACTGGCCCTCTTGTAATAAATGTACCCTTCTCGCTTTTGAGGCTCAGCTCAAATATCATCTGATTTGTGAAGCCTTTCCTGACCCTCTCTTATTTGTTCCCCTAGTTCTTTGTGTGTACCTCTGTCTTGTGGTTCTGATGTGCATTTTAAGTACTGGTTTATGTTCCCATCAGAAGGTTGGCTCCCTGAGGGGAAGAACTGTGTTGACTTTATCACTGTATCCTTTGTGCCAGTCACAGGGCCCAGCACCCCATAAGAGCTCAGTGATTACTTAGTGAGTGAATACATGGGCAGTCAGTGTACATTATGCCCTTACCATATGCAAGTATTCTAAAAGCTATTAAAACTAAAAATCAGCACAAAGACCACAGCCAGGGTTTTCTTCCTAAAAAACAAAAATATCCCTTCTTTGCTTTAAGAAAAAAAATCTACTTGAGGCTGAGCATGGTCATTTATTCCTGTAACCCCAGCACTTTGGGAGGCCACGGCAGGAATATTTGAGCCTGGGAGTTCAAGACAAGACTTAGCAACATAGCAAGACCCCAGTTATACAAAAAAAATAAAAATTAGCCAGGTGTGGTGGTGAGACCCCATCTCTACAAAAAAAATCAAAAAGGCATGGTGGCATATGCTTATGGTCCCCAGCTACTCTGGAGGCTGAGGATGGCTTGAGCCCAGGTCAACGCTGCAGTGAGCTATGATCGCACCACTGCACTCCAGCCTGGGTGACAGCAAGACCCTGTCTTTAAAAAAATTTTATTTAATCTACTTGGGAAATATAATAATACAAGTAGGATCTGAAATACTGTACATGATCATAAATATGTGCAAAATGGCCTTTTGAAAAGGTAGAGGAAATATATGTTACGGATATGGTTTTTAAATATTTTGTTTGGATTTTTTTGGAGAGAAAGGGGAATCTTCAGATGGTGTTTTCAGCTTGCCAAAATAAATTCTATAATAATAGGAAATGCTAACTTTATTTCTTAATGTGCTGTTAATTAAATATGCTCTGTTAAATCAATTGTAGCATATGCTACAATATTGTTTTCATAATTTTTTGGCAAAATTTTCCCCATAGATGAAGCCATGGTGGGCTTTGGCTGCTTATAAGCAGCTCCTGTCTTGATTATCACAACTTCTCACATAGTAGCGTAAAAAGTGAAGCCCTCACTCTGATGAGGCAGTCACTCTGCCTGGTAAAATTTTAGATTTAAGGAGCCATTTGCTTCTGGGCATGGTGGCTCATGCCTGTAATCCCAGCACTTTGGGAGGTCTAGGTGGGTGGATCACCTGAGATCAGGAGTTTGAGACCAGCCTGGCTAACATGGCGAAACCTGTCACTACTAAAAATACAAAAATTAGCCAGGTATGGTGGCATACAGCCGTAGTCCAGCTATTTGGGAGGCTGAGGCAGGAGAATCATTTGAACCTGGGAGGCAGAGGTTGCTGTGAGCTGAGATTGCACCAGAGCACTCCAGCTTGGGTGACAGCGAGACTCTGTCTCAAAAAAAAAAAAAAAAAAAAAAAGCCATTTGCCCTTTCAATAAAGATTAATGGCATTCATTAAGTAGAGAATCTTCTACTTGACCCTGTAGAAGGGCATCAAAAATTCTAATATTGGCCAGGGCACAGTAGCTCATGCCAGCAACTCAGGAGGCTAAGGTGGGAGAATCACTTGAGCTCAGGAGTTTGAGGCTGCAGTAAGCTATGACCATGCCACTGCACTCCAGCCTAGGCGACAGAGTGAGCCTCTCTCTAAAACAGCCCAAAATTCTAATATGACAGCAAAATTAAAAAGTAAAGCAGGAAACCCCACGTTTTGGAGGTGAGGAGAAACTGCCCTATTCTCTTTGTGAAACATTGAGATGTCTCTGTGGAGATGAAGTGTGAAGGCACAGGTCAGGACCCAGTATAGCAAGCTCACTCGTGCTGCCTAACGTCCACTGGGAGTTCCAGATATAGGGAGGGTTATGGGTGAGGGACCACTGAACTCATGATCATGAAGTTCTTTTTCTTTTTTGAGACAGAGTTTTGCTGTGTCACCCACGCTGCAGTGCAGTGGCATGATCTCGGCTCACTGCAACCTCCACCTCCCAGGTTCAAGCGATTCTTCTGCTTCAGCCTCCTCGGTAGCTGGAATTACAGGCACACACCACCATGCCTGCCTAATTTTTTGTATTTTTAGTAAAGATGGGGTTTCACCGTGTTAGCCAGGATGGTCTTGATCTCCCCGCCTCGGCCTCCCAAAGTGCTGGGATTACCGGCGTAAGCCACCACACCCAACCAATCATGAAGTTCTTACTGGGTAAGGCCTTCAGGTTCAGGCAGTCACAGTACAGTATTTGAAGCACACTTGGAATAAGTTCAGTACTAGCAATACCAGTTTCATTTATATGGTCCAAGAAGAAAATCTTAATCCCAAAGATATTAGAGACAAGCATCATAGAAAGAACAACTTAAAAGGATATTCCTTTTCCACATGCTTAGCATCATGTCAGACCACATAAGAGAGTTTATGTTGGGTCACTGATATCAATACTTTGAAAATTATTCATATGCTTTAAAATTAATGATTCCACAGCCTCCCACACCAAACCCCACATTTAGTCAAGAGATGGTGTTCTTGAATATGAGTCTCTATTTCTGAAACTTTTACATGCATATTTCCTCTCTCAAGTGGTAAATTCCTTCAAAGAACAGCAAGAGCAGTGGTCCCTAAGTGAAGCTTCATCCATATTTACAGCCTCTCCTTATCATTTGCATCACTGCCTGAGTTCTGCTTCCTGTCAGATCACTGGGGGCATCAGGTTCTCATAGGGGCACGAACCCTATTGTGAACTGTGCATGCAAGGAATCTAGGTTGTGTGCTCCTTATGAGAATCTGATGCCTCAGGATCTGTCACTGTCTCCCATCACCTCCAGATGGGACTGTCTAATTGCAGGAAAACAAGCTCAGGGCTTTCACAGATTCTGCATTATGGTGAGTTGTATAATTATTTCATTATATATCATAATCTAATAATAATAGAAATAAGGTGGACAATAAATGTAACGTACTTGAATCAGCCTGAAACCATCCGCACCACCACTGTCTATGGAAAAATTGCTTTCCACAAAACTGGTCATGGTGCCAAAAAGGTTGAGAACCACTGAGCTAGAGTCTTCTAATGTTGTATACCTGTAATGGAACCTGAACTATTTAGAAATTATCTTCGCCGGGCACGGTGGCTCACGCCTATAATCCCAGCACTTTGGGAGGCCGAGGCAGGTGGATCACGAGATCAAGAGATCGAGACCATCCTGGTCAACAAGGTGAAACCCCATCTCTACTAAAAATACAAAAATTAGCTGGGCATGGTGGTGCGCGCCTGTAGTCCCAGCTACTCGGGAGGCTGAGGCAGGAGAATTGCTTGAACCCAGGAGGCAGAGGTTGCGGTGAGCTGAGGTTGCGCCATTGCACTCTAGTATGGGTAACAACAGCGAAAGTCCGTCTCAAAAAAAAAAAAAATTATCTTCCTGGCAACTTCCATCAAATTATAGGCAAAAATTAGGACATAAAAGCCTTAAAAAGACCAAAATTATGCCAGATATTCCAAAGTTACTATCTTTAGTCTTAGAAATATCACTTAGGCCTTGCTTATCGGCTGCTTACTGTTTACACACAGCTTTAACAAATTCCCTG